GCCTACTGCTTGAAAATTATGCCTAACTTCATTCACCAAACACGGCTTTGATACTAATTTGTTAGGACCGCAATAGTAGAAACTTGATACCTTTTGCCCGGGCAGATCACGAAGAGGGAGCCCAAGTCCGAGCCTGTTAACATATCCAGTTGGACCCGCCTGCACTCAAAAATTTAAGCCAATGAGTTATGAGCTAACTAAAATATATTAACTGCTGTACACTACACCAATTATTTGATATGAGATTTCTCTAACACAACTCACACGTGTATCCTAATAGCGGGTTCGAAGGTCAGCCAATTTGGGCAAAAAACTCACGCGCCTGGTCGCGGTTGGGGGTTCAATTAGAGGTAGAAGTCAGCTTTAGGGGACTTGAGTTGTGCAATAGCATGGTCTCTAGAGAGATTCGTTCAAGATAAGATTAGGAGATAAGATGGACCGTCGAACCGGTTCAAAGGTTATACAATCAACACGAACGCTTTGTTGAATTGGGTTTGTCGATTGTTTCCGTGCAAAAGCCACACGCCAACCATCAGTAAGTTTCCAATGAATTGTGTGTAGAGACCCAGTTTGACCTCGGTCGTAGGCGATGCCCATGCGTGTGTTTCCCGTTCCACGCCGTCATTCGTTTTTCTCGTTTTCATGTGTTTCCCGTTTTCATGTTTGTGTTTACATGTCTTTTGGACGAAGGTGAGTCACTGTTTGTGTTCACATGTTGTCATTTGGGTTGCTTGGGACACATGACAATTTGAGAGATGAAAAAATTGAGACGGCCTTGAATTCAAAATTTCCGGGATAATTGCCCACGTCAGTTATCGGAAAATTGGCCAAAAGGAAAAAAGCTAGAAAATTCAGAAAATTAAAAAAAAATACGAAAATTGTTCTTGGTTCCAAGATGGGAACCGCCCACCGGAACCATACTCACCTCTAGTCAATGTCGCCTGTATCATGTTGGATAGTCGGCGCTAACTGAACATCCATATAAGAATATCCCGGCCACAATTGACCAAAATGATTATACCGGTAAATCGTTAAAATGTTTAAGACTAAATTGGTAAAATTGACAAGTGTAAAACTGAATTGGCCACCATATAATAGAATTAAAACTTTTGGGATAATTTTCCACAACCTTAAGCCGCCCATTAAAGACCATTTTCCAAAAAGGTAGTCTATTTGCGACTTTCTTTTTTTTTAGAGCATTTCTTGTCAATAAAAGTAACGACACCAATAATCCTTAAATTTTTTCATTGTTCGAAGTCATTTCTAAACATTTTTTTTTGTTTAATGTTGTAGCAAAAATAGTCAATGTGGTCCTTCCGTTAAAATTATTAGCAGACTCTGCTTACATGGACGGAATATATTATTAGTTTGTGACTTATCATCATTTTATTCAAATTCGTCCCCATACTTTGCTTATCTGTTCAATTTTTGTATGTGGTCCTTCCGTTAAAATTATTAACAGACTCTGCTAATATGGGCGGAATATATTATTAGTTTGTGACTTATCATCATCTTATTCAAATTCGTCCCCATACTTTGCTTATCTGTTCAATTTTTGTCCATGAACTGCTCTCTCTCTCTCTCTCTCTCTCTCTCTCTCTCTCTCTCTCTCTCTCTCTCTCAAATAAAATGTTTATTAATCATCCCACAACATTATAACCCAAAATAACACGTTAACTAAATGGATACACAACACATACCATTTAACATATAAATTCTTATACTTAAAAGTGATTAATTACTTGTGTTTACATGTCGTAAGTATTAATCTTGAATGTGTCTAAACATGTCATAAATATAAGGAACATTTAATTTAGTTTAAATAAACGAGACCAAGCGCGTTATAAAGGGGTAAGTGGTTCTACATGACAAGTTAATTACTTATCATGATTAAGTGTGATAGAAGCACATTAACACGTGTAGTGTGATTTCTTATTGAGGGGTTGTGTCAAAAAGTACTAGTCCTAAATAAGAGTCATCAAGGTTTGTCTCTAAGAATATATGAAGACTCTCACCATGCTCGAGTGAAGGCCATTAGAGAAAGAATCAAAATATAATAGTTTAAAGACGAAATTAAACAAACAAATAAAGTTCAAGTACCAAATTGAACAAAAAAATGACAAGTCAGTAACCTTCACAGCCCCATCAATAAATTTCGTAAATCTTCAACGGAAGGACCATATTAAACAATGGTTAATACTACGAAGAGAATAATGCATAGTTGTTTCTCTTTTCCCATGTAGCACATTTTATGCTTTTCATTACCACGGAATGATGCATTGTCGGTGATTTTGAAAGACACTTGTCGTGGATATAGTAGTTGTTGTGCCTTTTTTTAGAAGAGAATAATGCATATGATTCAGTATATGTTCTTTAATTGGTGAAAATGAAAGCGACCTTCAATATCTTAACTCTTAGAGTGCGTTTCTTTTGCGGAAAATGAACGATTTAAAAAATATTTTCCTAAAAATGATCGTTTGTATCGCTTGCAAAATATAATAAACGAAAAATATTTTCATCGTTCATAAAACTATTTAGACATAAATTTTTATCAATAATGAAAAATTTTAATTGAATAATTATTTCAAGTGATATAGATACCCATTTTTAGGAAAATATCTTCCGAATCATTCGTTTTCCGTCAAACAAACGTAGCCTTAAACAACCCCACGGTTTCTAAAACCGGTATTGCAAAGTTAGAGAGCTCATCACCCTTGGAAATTATTCAACATAACTTTTAACCTATACGAAATAAAGAGCTGACTGCAGAGAGTTCATCACCCTAGCATGAATAGGGTTTGAACTTTGTTGGCTGGTAATAGGTCACCGGAGAATGCGTTGAGTTCAATAGTTAAATGTGAATGCCGGAATATTTGAAGCACTGGCTTTTCCATGACATTAAAGCGCGACGTAAAGAAAAAGGCAACTCAACTTTGATATTGGCTTGTGGATAGATAAAAAAAAAGAGGTTGGTTTTCTTTTTGGTCAAGAAAAAAGAGTTATTTAGGAGTATACTTTTACAAAGTTTTTCTTTTCAATTCTTGCGGATCGCGTAATTCTCATCTTATTTATTGTGAAATACTTGATTCTCCAAAATATACAAGTATTGACACTTAGTTGACATTTTGAATTATCAAGGATTATGTTAACAAGTGCACTTGTAAAGAAAGTAATTAAGGAAAGATCACAATTTTTTAGTGCACTATTCCTTTCGTGTTATGTGTCCTAACTATGTTAAAATTTGAACTATTCCTACTTAAGCATGCTTACCTAATGTCCCGAGGACACTTGATAACAAGACCCTTATATGTATTACTGATGGGATATAATAAAATAACTCAAGTAGAAATTTTCCTAACCTTCTTGTCCGATAATATTTTTTGAAAGATACTCAAAATCATCCTTGCTCTTCACATCAATACCCAACTCCTTTATTCTAAAATCACTCGTGTAACCCTAAGTTTTGGCTCTAGACACCAATTTGTACTTGACATTAGTGACCGTTACACGTTTCATATCCAAAACCTAATCCCAGGTGTCAATGACCTCGATGCACTTGCCTTCGTATGGCCTTCGACCACCTCGGGTGAAGGTAACAGGCTTCTTCAAGGCCATGGACAGCCTCAGATCCAGGTCCATGAACGACCTCAATCGAGGTCATCTATGGTGACTCGCAACCTTAGATTGAGGTCACGCGCAGCATTGAGACAAGGGTGGCTCCGTTTGGGAACCACTTTGCCAAGGGACTTTGGGCATCCAAAGTCCCTTGAGCTAAATTTTGGTGTTTGGTAATTGTTTTTTGAAGACCCATTGAGCCAAAGTCGGCCTTCAAAAGGCCAAAAGCCCAAGGCACCCTAGGAGTTGCCTTGGGCATTTCAGTATTTTCGGCATGCTACAGTGCCGGTAAGTGACAAAAAATTTCTTCCAAAACTAACCTCGTCTAATTTTTTATTTTCCGGATTTAGCCTTGTCTGCTACTGTTCATCATCTTCTTCGCTTGCACCTCGGCCGGCGTAGCTGTGAGGGGACAGTGACCACCGGAGGGGGGCCGGTGTGGTCGCGCAACCCAGCGACCGTCGCCTGGGCTCGCACGACCGCTGCAAGGGGCCGCACGACCGCCGCAAGGGGCTACGCGACCCAGATCCGGCAACCCAGGCGAGGGCCGCCTGAGGTCGCGCGATCTAAACGACCTTCGAGGGCCGTCGGTGACCCAAATCCGGCGCCGGGCGGCGCGGCCTCAAATCTGGGTCGCCAGCGGCCCTCCCCTGGGTTTCGCGACCCTCGTCGAGGGTCGCTCGAGCCCAGGCGGCCCTCGCCGGCGATCACCGGGGCTGCCCGAGCTCGTTTGGCCTCAGACAACGGTCGCCCGGCGCCAGATCTGGGTCGCCGGCGGCTGCCTACCCTTCGCCGGCTCTGGCAAAGGGTTTTAACTTTTCTTTAATAAAAAATAAAAGAAGAACTTTGCAAGTATAATTTTTCCAAACACTATTTTACCCAAAGTTGCTTTGCAAGGGACTTTTAAGTTACAACTTACCAAACACAATTTGCATTTTGAACCTAAAGACTTTCCCCAAAAGTGTTTTCAAACACAGCCAATATCCACGGTGGTCGAACGGATAGAATCAGCTGGGAGGGAGAGAGAGAGAGAGAGAGAGAGAGGGGGCGGAGGGGTTTGAAAGCGGTGGGAGGGGACGGGCAGTAGAGAACGGTGGGGCAATTGTTGGCGGCGGCGGGTGGTGGTGGGTAGAGACATGTAACATTTTATCTTGCCATGCAAAGGGGTGGTTTAAGAAATACAGAATCCGAAGTGGGATTGATACCGATGGCAATTTGTACATTTCAAGCCAAGCTGGTTATGTCATTTTCGCCTCCCTAAGTGGGGAAGGGACCCCCTTGGTTTCTATCCGAGTAATAGCATCAAGCATGGCTTTCAAGAAACAAAGCTTTTCGGAAAGAAATAGGCAAACGACAAAGCCCAAGTCATAGTCCTCCACAAACACACTTAACCACGGCTCCCGCGGGACTAACTTTTTTTTTAACTTTTTCAGAATCCGCGATTGAAGGTGGATGATGTACAGAGTCACATAGACTCTTACTCCTTTGCTATATTTAAACATCCCTGTTGTGGCCTCGGAATTGAATGCAAAGAACAAACCGCACCTGTTAATCATAACCCACACGCACAACAAGAGAGAGAGAGAGAGAGAGAGAGAGAGAGAGAGAGAGAGAGAGAAAAGGATGCCAATCATACGTTTTCTACTTCCTTTCATGCTCAGCTTTTTCACCATCAAAGCTGCTGAATCCACCCTCACCATAAGCAGCCATTACTGCTCAAACTCAAGCACCTTCTCTCCCAATAGCACCTACCACGCCAACCTCAATCGCGTTCTCGATGTTCTCGTCAGAGACGCAGGTGCCGACGCTGGTAACGGGTTCAACTTCACTTCGATCGATGGCAGCTCGAGCGAGGCCGTCTACGGCAGCTTCATGTGCAGAGGCGATGTCTCGAGGAAAGAGTGCGCGGACTGTGTCAAGATTGCCGCGCTTGAGATAACCCAGAAATGCCGGATGACGAAAGTCTCCTTCCTGTGGTACGATCAGTGCATGTTGCGCTACTCTGACACAAATTTCACCAGGAAGATGGAGCTGGAACCTCTGTTGGGTGGATACAATGAAGAGAACATAGAACAGCCAGATGAATTCATGAAGCTACTGAACGAGACGGCGGATCATGCGGCTAGAGAGGCTGCTCAGCATCCTGCTAGGATGTATGGCCATCGTGGCGCCAAGTTTGATCAGGAGAAAACATTGTACACGTTCGCACAGTGTGTGCCTTATCTTTCCAAAAACGATTGTTGGAAGTGCCTTCGCAACGCCACATCAAGCCTCTTAAGCCTACCAAAGGGGAAAATCGGGGGCCGAGTGTTGCTTCCGAGTTGCTTTGTCAGGTTCGAGATTTACCCGTTTTATGGGAGCAGCTCAAAAGGTAAGGTAGAACCTCGTGGTTGATTTTTCAAAAGTTCATCATCATGCTTGTTACTACTTTTAAGATTACGACAGAATTTATGTTGTCCGCTTAAGCTGTGTCTTTGCTCTTCGAGGAGTTATTAGAGTTTTTCGGCCAGCAAAAGAATTTTTTTCTTTTCAATTCTACCACAGCTAAAATCTTTACAGTTGGATTATTCAACGCTCGTTTCAGTTAAGTACAGTCATTTCAACTGTCTGCTTCAGCTTTTGAATGGAGTTGGGGAATATCTTGTCTCTTGTATGTGCTGGAACATGAAGTTTTCATGACTAGAATGAGCCATACTTTCATGTATGTAAATGAAACTATTAACTCCGGCAACAAATGCAGGGAAAGTGCACTTTCCATTGAAAATATCTGCTGCAATCCTCACGGGAGCCGTAGGATCGACACTACTTTTATGCACGATAGTTTTACTACGAGGAAGAAGAAGAAGAGTTTTAAGAAGGGAGAACGAAAGTTCTATAGAAGAAGATCCGATTGGTAACTCAACGAAGCAAATTTCTGAACTCAATTCCCTGCAATTTGATCTGCGAACAATCGAAGCCGCCACAAATAAGTTCTCAAACAACAACAAGTTAGGGGAAGGTGGATTTGGCCCCGTTTACAAGGTAATTAAGATGCCCAATCAGATCATTCATCTTTTGACTTATCAAGAAGCTGATGCTTGCTAATTCTTAAATATAATCATAATGTAGTATCATATTGTGGTTTACAATGAAGGTTCTCAAAGATCCAGAGCATTTTTCTCATCCACATAAGTTAAATAGTAAAAACTCCGAGATTATGCAACTAGTTCTCCTATCTTGATGCCCTTCTAATCTCATAGTAGTAAAAAAGTATAACAAAGTGAAGAAGCAATAAGATGGGACTGTTTTGGGCAAATTTCGAGTTTTGATGTCTTCTGTTATCAGGGTACTCTACCCAATGGTCAAGAAATTGCAGCAAAGAGGCTATCTAGGGGCTCTGGACAGGGAGTCGAAGAATTCAAGACCGAGGTTGAATTAGTAGCCAAGCTTCAACACAGAAACCTAGTGAGGCTACTGGGATTCTCCTTGGAAAGAGATGAAACAATACTAGTCTATGAATACGTGCCCAACGGGAGCCTCGATCACTTGTTATTTGGTTTGCCTCTCTTTTATCTCCTTTTCACCAAGTCAACACACCAGCATTTCAGTCTAAATGATTTATTTCACTCAGAGAAAATGAGAAGCAAATATTATTCTGGCTAAATGAAAAACCATAGGTATTAGTGATAGCAGGACAACGTAATGCAAACAAACATTCTGTTGTTATTCTGCTAAGTTGTTTTCTTCATTTCTTTTCTGCATCGACGAATGCAACTTTAAACATCGAACATTAGTTAAGAAGTAGATATGGAAAGCAATGAATCACATCATAATGAGAACACTGATCAAAAGTTGATGAAAGCAACTATATGTGATGATCTGGGCATGAGCATTATGCAAGTACGAGTTGATACACCTTACAGATTATTTTGACTGATGTACAGATCCCGAGCTTAGTGGACAACTGGATTGGTCAGCACGTTACAAGATCATGGTAGGAGTGGCGCGTGGACTGCTATACCTTCATGAAGATTCTCGGCTTCGAATTATTCATCGTGATCTCAAAGCCAGCAACATTCTGCTAGATGCTGACATGAACCCAAAAATCTCAGATTTTGGTATGGCCCGGATCTTCAACACCGATCAGACTCAAGCAAGCACAAATAGAATCGTTGGAACGTAGTAAGTTCAACGTCTGCTAATCTGACTCGTTATTAAAAAAGAAGAGTGTGCCATTAGCATTGAAGGTCATTCGTCCTAATTTGTTCAAGCATTTTATATCCATACTGAAAATTTGTAGGTTATCCTCTCATTGATGTGTTAACATATATTGTGCTCAATGCAGTGGCTACATGTCTCCTGAGTATCTAATGTTCGGACACTTCTCAGCAAAATCCGACGTCTTCAGCTACGGTGTGTTAATGCTAGAGATTATAACTGGCAAAAAGAACAGCCAATTCTTCGCATCGGACTGCGAGGAGGGCCTGCTAGGCTATGTGAGTATCTTAATAGGGCATTCTTTTTTCGGCTAACATCACTATAATAGAAGTACAACTGTAATTTGAACGAAATTAATTAATATTAACTAATCTTCTAGGTCTGGAAGCACTGGAGCAACAAAACACCGTCGGAAGTAGCGGACCAAGCTTTAAGTAATGCTTACTCTGTGAACGAAGTGATCAGATGCATGCACATCGGCTTGCTCTGCGTGCAGGACGACACAGAAGACCGACCCACCATGGATTCAGTCGTTCTCATGTTAAACAGCGAGTCTATTAGCATCCCAGCGCCTCAAAGACCTTCATTCTTCTTCCCAAGTAAGAAGAACAAACCGGCACCTTGTGTCCTGAACTCAGATCAATCTACCAGCAAAGTGGACCAGTCTAATGGCAAGATAACATCGTTGTGGTCTGCGACTGATAGTGGCTCTGCTGAACCAGAACCGCGGTAGGTGAGACTTCTAGGCTATCATTTAGATCAACTTATTGTTTAGATTTTACCAGATAATTTGTGTGTGCGCACTTCACTGTTGCATGAAGATTGATATATCTTCATTGCCGGAACTCTGGCTTTACTCTTTCTAGTAGGACCAGAACAGGATGCCGCATGTATAAACAACTCCAATAGCTCTGAAGAGTTTAGCCATTAGATTGGGATTAGCATGTAGGCTTTATAATATGGTACATTGTGACAAGGACACTGGAGTTTTTAACAGGAATTTCGGTATTTCAGGCTTCAAATTTGGTATATGGCTAGAAAAATTTTCAAGTCGTCCGCTCAAACCGGCACTGCCCATCCTGGTGTCGGATTCATTTGTTCTCTGTCGCATATTAGCATAGTCGAGACTCTGGAAATAAATTTTATTTCATGGTTTTGAAATTTGCTGATTAGAAACAGATATACTACAGCAAGAGTCCACATCCATGTGTTCAAGATTTAGATGTTCCTACACCCATGTGCACAAAATTGATAGCCTCTAGAAGCCAGAACCCTTTCTCCTTAACGCGTAATTGATCAGGAGAAAGGGTATGGAGAAAACTTTAAAGAGCATAGTAAAAGTTAAAGCTTTTTCTCTACTCAGAAAAAAGAAAGAAAAGGAAAGGCTCTACTTTGCCAGGACCAGATAAAAAGGCCACTTGAGCAGACTCTCGAAGCGACGTATCCGAACGGAATACAACGAAGACAGAAAGGGGTCCACATCCCCCCCCCCCCCCCCCTCACAAAGGAATCTACTTTTGTTGCATATTGCAGCAATACTCGAGCAGTGTTGTGCAAAAAAGTTAACAAAGTTGTCACATCACTCAATCACAACCTCCCAAAGTATACTAATTAGGGTCACACACGAGCTCAAGGTCTCACTTTTTGGGATTCACGTTTATCATGCCATAAAGTGTGCCTGCAAGGAGAAGCACCACAACCAAGAGCTCTTCAAGAGCAAGAGTCCACCAACTCGTCTTCAATACTTAAGAATCGTTAAATGTGTACCCTTCACATCATTTGCCCAACAGCAATAGCAATTTCAAAGGCCCCAAACCTTTACTTTCACCATTCTTTGGAACCAGTTTTCACTATTCCTCTTTTTTTGGGAGGAAGAAGAGGAGAACAATAAGCTTGATAACTCAAATAGCCTTTCTAATTTAGAAAGGTCTGATGCTTTTGAAAACTTATGCCCCACTGAAAGACTATTAGAAAAACTTGTAAGATATGCCCAAAAAAAAGGTACTGCAAGGGCCGTCGTATATTGCTAGTTCTAAAGTGAGGAACGAGTGTCGATTGTAATTGAGAACGTAATATGAAGCAAAATTGTGCCGAGTCTCTAGACGGTATGCATGTCTACTTGTGGGGTCACAGGCCACTTCAAATTCTTTTCAAGACTATCAGGATAATATTAGTGGAGACTTTTCTGTGCAACAAGCAACCAATAAAGATAAGCATGGCCCACTAGAGCTTGAAAACTTGATTGAGCACTAAAGCAACCAGCGGGACCTGCGGACCTACAATCGGGAAGTTTCATACCTGACTGCTGTTCGCCAAAAAGAAAGAATATGTTCCTAACAAAACAATATTCTAAACAATGCTCCTATAACACCTTCCTCTTTGGGCTGGCTGTGGGGCAGAGCAGAGCCAACCTTCGCATGATATTTTAACATAGGAAGGACAATGTTAAAATGACTGGAATCTTATATCATTAGCAAACTCCGTGGAACACCTCTCCTTCAAGACCAACTGCGGGCAACAACTTGTCTTCTCCAGATACCTATTGGCACCTGCAAAAGCAGCCGATACAACAAATTAAATATTGGTCAGCTGACACTACCAACAAGCTCTTGATCCTGGTAATACTCAGTATAACATCAGTAAATTGAAAACTGCAAAAGTAGTATCAGGTGATAGGTCCTTACAGCCGGGAAGCCACCATAATCCCCAGGCTCTTTTATGTCCTTGGTGACACAGCTGTTTGCAGCTAGACGCACCTGCATTTTCAAATCATATTTGATTGTGACTGAGGCTCTTTACACATACACAGGCTAACTACGTTGACTTGATTAAGTTGTTACAAGAAACAAGATACTGCAGTGATTCATTTATGTGATCCAATACTGGGATATTAGAGTTTACTGCAAATCAACCTCAGCAAAAGTTGCATAATAAGCAACTCAATGGCAATAACTTAGAACCTATGATTACACCTACATGAAAATGGATATCGTACACAATCCAATTTCAACTCTAACTAATATCCGTCCTTTTAAGTTTCGAACCAATCAGAATGGTAAGGTAATTCTAGGGGGTTAACAGGACCAGAACTGAGCATAGTGTTTGGTCAAACAAATTTAACCAACCAGTTGCAACCCATTGTTAAACATTGGCCAAGACATGACAAATTTGAAGTTTGCAATGATTGAAATACTAGAGGATATGGTGTTCAACGAACATCACATGATTCAATCACATTAATGTGATGGCAATTTTTCTGTCATAAGAAAGATCAAAAGCAAAAGCACCTGCTTAGATCATTACAATTTACACATTATCACAATGAAGTCATTTAGCAATATTACTTCACCAGAAAATTATAAAAAGTGGATACCTTTGATGTAATAGATACATGATCGCGAACAGCTGCCCTTCCACCTAGAGTCACATAATCTCCTAAACTGAGACGAGGAAGAAGTCAAAAGTCGTACTTATGACTGCAAATTAATAACTCAGCTTCTCCAAAACAAAAAATTAATCAGAATATAAACTTAAATGAGTTGTGACTTGAGAAAAATGCAGAAAAGTCGTTCACAATTTCCAAGATTATAAAACTTGTCAGTGAAAACAGCATACGTTGCTGAACCAGCAATTCCAACTTGGCCACAGAGTATGCAACTTTTCCCAATAACTGCATTGTGACCAATCTGAAAAGCCACAAAAAGTTCATATCATAAATCAACCAGTTTTATGGAAACATTGTAGTCAGAAAAAAAAAACCCACCTGAACTAAATTATCTATCTTTGACCAATCCCCAATGACCGTGTCTCTCCAACTACACATGTATATAGTTCGCATGATCAGTCTTAAATCTTATACTGGCAAAATGGATTTTCTTGGAATCATGATATCTCAACAGTTCATTTGGAGTGCAACACACCTGCCTCTATCAATACATGTATTTGCACCAATCTCCACATTATCCCCTATCCTAGCATTCAGCATCTGTCAATGGAAAAGGAGAAGAAAAACAGATCACATGTCGTTGTACTCGATGCACCGGCTGGAACAATCCCAAGATTCCAAACAGGAATTGGGCCTTGGTCCTCCAGTTTGCTCACTGAACAGTTATGCAGAAACCTAGATTGGACCAAATAACCATGGCTGGACAAGATTAAATATATTATAGGCAAGAAACAAGAACTAATCAAACTCATCATAAACAAAAGTGCAAGACAAACTTGAGGTTTCTTCAACATGTTTCCAGACTCATCCACAAGAAATCCAAATCCTGCTAACAAAATGACACCAAACTTCAGGGAAGTGAAAAAAAATGACAACCAGTAACCCTTATGTCAAGAAGAGCAAGTTGTGTCCACTCACTATGTTAGAAGAAACTTAGGTTGAAAATCTTAGATGCAAGACCTTATTTATGGGATCAAACAAGGTATATCTTAGAAAAATGTTTATAATACCACATAGCAGCCGGCAGCAAGTTTGCAAACAGACGTTTGTTCAGCAATAGTAGCATCCATACAAGCCAATGCAAAAGTTACGCTATCATGTCATCACAAAGGAAGCATGTAACGATTACCAACATAAGCCCAGAGATAACAAGATGTTTAGAATATTGGTCATGTCAAATTAGCACACTGATTTTATGATAAAATAGGCTGAGACACTATCAATGAAAAGTTAAGCAAAAATGACAGAGCCATTTTAACAAGAATCGAAAACACTCAAAATATTGATGAGAAAAGCCAATAAAGGAGAAAAATTGTCCAGCCTACCATCTTGACCAACGCATACTCCATTGTGGATTATGCATGATCCACCAACAGTGCAATTACCCAGTGAAACATTGTACCTGTTAAAGATGTGATTATCAAGTAACGACAATTGATTCTTCACAGTTCAACCAGAAGGATGCTATTATACATCATAAAAAAAATTCAAACAACATTTCTTCAACGTAGTTGACCTAATTGCAAAGAGCCACCTCAAAAAACACACCTAACCATTATGTAGAGGGAAGCATAGGCATCCATTGCAATACACAGCATCCAGACAACATACCAACCTCAACCTAAAGGTCTAGCCAAGCCAAGTATAAACAGAAATACATACAGTCATACGAACGGGCAAGTACTTGAATCCAGACAGATGCAATATACAGCCAAGCAGTAATCCAATATAGAGAAGGAAGTAAATGTTACCCAATCTTCGTTGACTGGCCAACTGTAACATCAGGTCCAATAACTGTTCCTGATCCCACACGTACATGTGCACACAGCACTGCTTTTGGATGTACGACAGCACCCACTTCAATGAGTGCAGTAGGATCAATGCAAGCAGACTCATGGAAAGTTCCACCTCCGTTTGGCCATCTCTGAAATTCCTGGTAACTTGTCCCATCACTACCCTCTAACCTTTCATTCAGGGGATTGCAAAAGTAGGCTCAGTGTCTTATCACACTAGAAAGAGACTGTGCTAGTCCTACATCTGCCAACATACTTCATATTCCACATCAAATGCTAAGGTGCACTTAGTATCAGACACAGTACAAGAATGAAAATCAAGCTTAATGGCTTTTAAGAGGTGTTAATATATAAAACACATGCTCCAACATTTTTAGCTTAAACTTTAGAGTAACATAAACAATAAGATCCTACGTAGAAAGTTTCAATTTTCCCATTCTCCTTCCGCATCCCTTCCTCATATACAGTGGGCGATGACCACTATTTCATGCATCGTTGGCGCACGTCATGCATCCGCTTTGCCAAGACATTAGATGACATATCGTCAAACGTCCTCGGGTCATTCTATATCAACCAAAACTTCCAAACTTCTCAGAATCAATCAGCCAAACATTAGCTAACATGGCATTAGAGCTCAAAGCCCAATATCACTAAAACAAATTGCCAGGACTTGATCTTCTTTTCAAATGTAACTCTACTCAGAGCCGCATTTCGTCGAACAGGTGAGCCGCATTACACTCGACTGAGACCAACCTGGGGGCACTTGCATCAGCTGCACATGTGGACACGCTCCGAGCGCTTCCCATAGCGAACGCAGCCAAAAGATTCAATTTTTCCGGGCGCTTCGTCTTCAAAAGAAGGTGGGGAGCACCCAAAGCAGCGAGCTTTCTCAGATGAATCGCCATCCACACTACGAACAGAGCAAGAGGGCGTAGATGGGTGTCGCCCAAGTAGCGAGCAAGATCTCGTTTTGTACGGCGGGATGTGAGCAGGCTCGGAGTTGCGGCAGGCGACGACCCAGATGCTAAACTACGGAACTGTCCTGCATTTGGACATGAAACGGTCGGAACAAGGAGAAGAAAGTTCAAGGAAACCGCAGGCTTGTCGTGCGAGGGACAAGGAGGACAAAGGTCAACGGGCGACTGACATATAGAAGTTTGGCGGGACATGGAATTATTCATATTTAAAAAACTAAAAAAAAAATCAATTTCATGAACAGATAATCAACTAGAATGTTTGTATGGGATGGATTGCACACATGAGAAAAGTTTATAAAAAAAAAAAGGTACATAGCTTTATTCTTAAAATTTGTTTCAAAAGTAGAAAAAAAAAGTTTAATAATTTATTTCGTATGTCACAAAATTCTATCTTGACTTGAGAAAATAGTAGATTAGGCAGGAAGAAATTGGACATATAAAGAAATACCTATAAGTCAAATTTGTAGAGAAAAAACCCACCTGCCATTATTTGAAAAATGATTTTCGATTTTTTAGAGAGGAAATAATTTTCCTAAATTAAAATTTTGGTAGGAAAACATTTCCTACTGACGAGGAAAATATTTTTCGTTGACTCATTTTTCTAAGCGATTCAAACGCCGGAAAATAAGGAAAATATTTTTCCAAAAATGAAACAAATAAAGTAAATTTCAAATATTGTTTAACAAATGAAAAATGACCGATAAATTGTTTGTTCGGGTTAAGTCACTAACACTTATATTAGATTACCGGTATTCATTTGATCATCTATTATTTACAAATCGCTGATAGTGCCAATAAATTATCAACGAGTACTAGCATATCTTAGCAAAGCATTAAAGCTACCAACTAGTTTACAAATTAACCGATCTTAATCTAAGGATGCGTTTGTTTAGGGAAAAACTCCATGACGAAGGAAAATACTTTTCGGGAAATCATTTTTCAGGAAAATGATTAGTTTGTTTTTGTTTGGTAATATGTGACCGAAAATATTTCTTGGTATTTGGATCTCACGTGGAAAATGATTTTAATCTCACGGCCTTATCTGAGTGACCTTGCTCCCGTCACATCATTGCTCTCCCTCCTCTCTTCTTCTTCGTCTGTGTTTTCTTCCCTTCTTCTTAGGCCAAAAGAACCCTTTCTTCAATTCCATGGTTCTTGAATTCGACAGATATATCGGAAATTGAGCTCAATAGAGAATTGAAAAAGGAAAGAAAAACCCAACAACTGGTATATGTAACTTCATCTAAAGCAACTAATAGACGTCGAACCTCATCTGCATACATAGAACAGGATGGAAACCAACCATGCTCCTGATTTTGTAAGGACAAATCACTATTGCTAGTACAATCACCCGCGTTTTCATGGTTCCATCGAAAACCAGCTACCTAACACCAGGGAATCCACAGAAGCCAGCACTCTTGGCCAAAACATTAGGGTTCTAAGAACGAAATTTTGAGGGTGTCAACTATGGTCGCGGCTCGGGGACTAGGTTGCGCGCGGCCGCTGAGGCAAGGCTGAGCGCCGGAGGCAGGAGGCGATGACGGCGAGGCTTCGGGTGCAGCTTCGAAGGACGATATCGGAGGCACCGCGTCCATGGCTTTGATGCTTGCTGCACTCGAAAAATGCGCAACCACCATGGTGCAAGCATAGAGAGAAGAGAGAGATCTGCGGCCATGGCGCGAGCACAGAGAGAGAAGAGAGAGAGGGACCGGTCGATTCAGGAGAGGGAAGGGCAATTTTGGAAAGTATTTTCACCTTTTTAAATTTGGAAATTCACTTTCCTAACTTTAAACATGAAAATTTTCGTTAATCGGAAAGTGTTTTCGGTTAACTAGTTATTTTCGGCGAACCAAATGAGTAAAAGTTAAGAGAATTAATTTCTGAAAGACACTTGCATTGAAACAAACACACCCTAAGTGAAATACTGATTTTTCTTCAATAAAATTTCCCATTAATTTTAGGTTACCAACTCTTATTTGTGATGCTCACCTATATTTATTTGGTCAAACTCTAAATTACCAACTTTTTAAATAATTGACCAATTTCTTACTAGCTTTGAAATTACAAATTAATTTTAGGTGGCCAACTCTTATTTGAACCACTTATCGACATTGATAAGAGGGCTTAAATAACGAATGATTCCGAATAACTTACCAACTTTTATTGAATTATATGAAATCACCAACTTTGTCCTACTCATCTACCAACTTTATATATGACATGTCAGTAGTAGCTACTTCCCATTGTCGATAGTAACTTCACACATACAAAAGTAAGTTTAAACAATTCAGTAGCTAGTAATTTCTCCAATGAGTCAAAAGTATTTAATGTGGGGAAAGTACAGTAATTATTCATGAGAATCAGTAGTTCTCTCATAAGAAACTAACTATAGATATATCTAAATTCAACATCCAAATGTGACTAACAACATTTCTATAATGCATAGTAACTTCCAAATATCTTTCTATTAGTATAATATTCAATTGAAGTAACTTTTTTCAGAGTAGATACCATGTATAGCCAGTAATTCCAATATCCATATTACAGGATGACTCGACCCATTCAACACATGAAAATATGCAAATATCAAATTATGTAGTGATATAACACATTGCCTGTCGTTCCATCCAGTCCCCTTCTAGGTTCGGACAGTCTAAAGGTAGAGCATAACTTAAGATACATGATATCACCACGTAGTTGACTCGTGGGAAGTTTCATATACATAAAGAAAATGAATTTAACACAATGGAACAGAAGAAGCACACATGTTTAGGCTCCAATCTGTGATCATCGAGGATATAACTTGGTGATGGAAGCCTCGTTCACAGATTGTTGGATTTGTCTGTTTCCGGATTGATCCGAATGAGTTGCCGTCCCCCGCGACGCTGTGTCAGATTCAGGGATACTGTGCATAATGAATGCAGGTCGTGATGGTACTGGCATGGTGGTGGAGTAACTATTGAGCATCAAAACCACTGCACCCATGGTTGGTCTCTCGGCCTCAATTTCTTGAACACACAGCAATCCAACATGAATGCACCTCACCATTTCGGTCCTCAAACCATCAGCCAAATTAGGATCTGTGAGATTTGAGGGGGTCCCTTCCCTCCAACTCCTCCATGCCTGCAATGAATCACAAACACAAACTCGGATGGTAAAAATAGTTGCTCGACTCATTCAAGTTCGGGTCCACCACTCCTTTCGGGTGATTCTTTGGGGGAAGGAGAGTGATTTGAAGATATTTTCTTACATAGCTAAGAAGGTCCTCTGTGGTATCCCCGTTGCAGAAGCGGCTACTTTTTTGACCACTAATAATCTCGAGTAGCAACACCCCAAAACTAAAGACATCTGACTTGACTGAGAACAATCCATGCATTGCATACTCTGGAGCCATGTACCCACTGCATCACAGGAATAATGAGAACTTTCAACACAATTCCATTTAATATGTTGTGCCTTTAAATTTGCTAGCTATTCAGATTATATGGAGAAGAGCACGGGAAATATAACCAGATTTATCTTAAGATACTCTGCTATCTTTTACTGACTAAGTGCCAACAACCCTGCTTGTGGCGTCTTGAGTTTGATCCACCACAAATAGCCTTGCTGTACCAAAATCTGAAATTTTAGGGTTCATCTCCGCGTCAAGCAAAATATTGCTTGCTTTAAGATCCCGATGAATGATTCGAAGTTGAGAATCCTCATGAAGATAAAGAAGCCCACGAGCAATGCCTCCTATTATCTTTTGACGCCTTTCCCAATCCAGCTGCCTACGCCTAACAGGATCTGCATAGCATATTGATGAAAGGTTATAGTGCATGTGACTAATGCGAGGTGACTTTCTAAATGCAGATTGGTAAGAACATGCACTTCAATTACTCTTGAATCGGATGATGCTGGTAACAAAATGGCATGATCATACCATATATAAAGTGATCCAGGCTTGAGTTTGGTACGAATTCATATATAAGAAGCCTTTCTCTCCCCTCCAGGCAAAAACCTAAGAGCCTGACCAAATTCCGGTGTTGAAGCCTTGCAACCAAGAGGACCTCGTTCTTAAATTCTTGACCACCTTGTGCCAAATCTACAGACAACCTTTTTACTGCTATAACTTTTCCATTGGCCAATGTTCCCTGAAAAAGAATGCGAAAGGCAGCCATATACATGTGAATGTTTAAAATTCTCTAGTTATTTTAGGAATAAACAATTTGCAGTGATTACCTTGTAAACCGTGCCAAATCCACCTTGTCCCAACTTATTTGCATCAGAGAAGTCATTTGTTGCCTCTCTGATGGTATTCAAGTCGTACTGCAGGGATTCTGCAGTTCTGATTTCATCTACAGGTAAAGCTACAAAGTGGAAAATCCAAAGTTGGTTATTGTCTAATTCGACATTATCAGTACGCTGATTTAACAGTTAATAGTAAATCATTTTTATTTAACAGTTGATCCATTCAAAGAAAAATTTGTCCTCTGGGTGATGGTAGCAAATAAAAGGTTTTCCAGAGCAATCGGGGAACTTTGATATCTATAGCCCACATTGAATCTGTCCTCGTTTAGTCAGAAATCACCGACCTCTGAATTCCTGGAAAGTTACTAGCTTTTGCACATCAAGACTGAACCTATTGGCTGCTAATCTGTTTCACATATTCACCCAGTATTTTATGAAAATCAGTCACGCGAAAGTAATTAGAACTTACGTTCAAATTTTTTCTTTAATCTTCTTGACCTCAAACAGATGCATAATATTCCAGCAATTAAAAGAGATAATCCAACAGCTGGGATTGTGATAATGAGGGCAATACGACCTGAGTTAGTTTCCTTTCCTGAAAAAGGAAGAGCTCTTATGTTAGACAAGAAACTCATGGTAGACAGTGTGTAGACCCAATAACCGAAAATAGTTTTTATGAGGGTTTGCACATTCAAAGCAGTCTGTGGTATTAACCGAAAAGTTAATTTCTTGTCTGCTAGTTATTTAATGCTTATATCTCATTCGAGAGGAAACATAAGTGTCTCAGGAACTTATTACACTCCAAATCAAAAGTTGAATTACATCATGCTTTAAAATCCACTTAATGCAACCATACTCAGGGAGATGGAGCAGGGGAAGGAGGGGAAGCAGACTTACAACCCCTAGTCTCTTGTTTCTAGGAGGAGCTCAATGAAGTTAAACTTGCTCACAATTATTATCATGTTTGTCCTACAGACAATTGAAAACACAAATAGAATGCTCTGGCATAGGTAACTGTACATTAAAAGGAAGTACCTTTAGAGGATGTGTTATTCGTTGGAGTAGGTGTAGGAGAAACT